TTTACATTAGACAGAAGACTAATATCAAAACAACTCTTTTTTTTCTTCTTCTTCACGAATTCAGAATTCCAGTTAGATTTCCATAAAACCTCTAGGCTGCTTACTATTATAAATTGGTATCTTTTTTGATGTTTAATAAAATAAAGTTATGTTACAATTTTCAGTGGGCTCAAAAACGATTGTCTCTTTGGTTTTTCGAATATTTTGTATTTGTACAGCGATCTTTATGCCTTTTGCTTTTGCACTCACGACTGCGGCTGAGCCTGAAGTGAGTGAGTGAGGGAGGCTGCTCAAAACACCAAAAATTTCGGGAATTTTTAGCCGAAAAAATTAAACTGCCATTTACATTCAATGGCTTCCTACATGATAGATGAAGAGATTAAAAAAGATTGAGTTGAAAAATTTATATTTTCAAAAGTTATCGTGATTATTCCTCCATGCGGACTTGTTAAATCCACGCCATAAGCCACTAAAACAACTTTTTTATGTAAAAATAGCAATTAATAGTTTATTTAACTTTTTGAAAATGTGCTTTTGTATATAATTTATACGTACAATATGATTGTTAGATACGATTTCATGCGACAAAATGTAGGAACTTTGATTTTTAGGTATTAGTTAGGCATTAGTAGAAGTAGTAGTTTTGTCTCGATGTGCGATGGTGAAATTGAGCGGCTAGAATTAGTCGGAATAATTCCGCAGAGCACTCCCCGTGATGGATGCGATAAAATACGCAAAGAAATGCAACATTTCTACACAGTGCCAGTGAGTCAAGCCGATCGGAAAGAACTCGGTCGTAGACGATTCGAACCGCTCTGCGCTGGATGCGCTCAAGTGGAAGGAGCTGGCACTAAGGAGCCCCTGCCCAGAGATGGGAACAGTATTCCATGTGGGGCCGTACCTACGCCTTGTAAAGTTGCAAGCGATGTGCCGGCATGAAATACTGTCCCGCTCTGCTGAGCATGCCAAACTTTTTAGGGGCCAATTTGGCCTTCTCTTCCAAATGACCACGAAACTGCACATCACTCGATATGTCGACACCGAGGATTCCAACTGAGGCATTAAGGGGAGTGCCTTGAAACTGAGAACATACGATAAAGGGGTTCTTTATAGCGGTAAACGCGCAAACTTGTGTCTTCTGGGGGTTGAACTGGGCTAGATTTAGTCGCCCACAGTCCGAAACTTTGTTCAACAAAGTCTCTACTCAGACATAAGTTTGTTCCAGTACTCGGCGACGTTGTCCCGAGATATATTGGCACGGCCTGTGTATAAAGTATCACCAGTGCTGTCGTCTGCATAGCAATGAATGTTACCAGTTTGCAACATATCATTGATATGCAGAAGGAACGTTGGTGATAGCACGCAGCCTTGTGGAACACCAGCGTTAATGGGCTTGTAATCGGAGCATGCACCGTCTACTACGACCTTGATGATCCGATCTGCAAGAAAACTGGTGATCCAACTGCACAATTTCCCGGGAAGCCCATAAGAAGGAAGCTTTGAAAGAAGAGCTTTGTACCAAACCCGATCGAAGGCCTTCGCTATGTCCAAACTAACGGCCAATGCCTCCTCCTAGGACTCCACTGCCTCCGCCCATCTATGATTTAGGTAACCTAGAAGATCACCAGCTGAGCGATGTCGATGGAAACCGTATTGGCGGTCACTAATCAGCTGGTGATCCTCAAGGTACCGGATGAGCTGGCAGTTAATAATAGTTTCCATTACTTTGGAGAACGAGGAGGTGATAGAGATAGGCTTTTGTACGTGGTAGAGCCATTCTGCATCTATATTAGTAGTATAGTTGTAGCACGAATGGGTGGGCTCGACCGGGAAGGACCACGCTCTCACAGAATACCAGCGTAAAATGGCAGCTTGACACTGCTGTGTTTCGTATGGTGAATGTAAAGAAACGGAGACCCATTTTACTGTAAAAGAGGCATTCCATCTTAGTCCTCACGGGTGATGACGCATCTGCATTTTGATTCTTTATTGGGGATAAATGTAGATGTTTATAGGTCACAGCAACCACTTACCATCAGGTGGACTGTGTGCTCGTTTGTCACCCTATCCTATAAAAAAATAGGGCTATAGTTGGACGGATCACTCACATAGTTGGATGGTCGGCGGTGTGTTCCCCCCGTCATCGAGAGTCGAGTTGGAAGCAAAAAGAGAGCCTAGCAGATCGGCTTTCTCCTTTGCGTCATGGGCCAGTGTGTCGTCCTCCCTGTGCAGAGATGGAAGAGATGGCTGACAGAAGTTTCCTTGGACAGCCTTGGCGAGACACCAGAATGCACATGTTCCCGAAGGGGGCGAACTAGTTTCTCGCCAATTCTGTGTCCTTTGCCTTGGCAATGACACTTTTAAAGAACCTGAAGGCGGAATTATACTTCATTTTAAGAGCGCTGGTGTTTATATCCCGTGACGGAGATGTGTCAGCCCAGGCCCAGTAGCACTCCTGCTTATAGCGTGATGCAATTTTACAGGAGTGACCAAACCATTGCTGAGTTCTGCCTCAGATAGGCACCACAGATGATGGAATAAATAATTCCATTCCCTGTCCACATCAGCGACAGAAATAGCAACAACGTTGGGATCATCCGGCGAGAATCAAAGCCCCCAAGGGTAGGATGCAAAAAAAGACCGCATCCCGTCCCAATCGGCCGACCTATAGTGCCAAATACGGCGGCAAGCTGCAAATCGTAACTGCGATGGGAGCGTGAGTGGCACCGTACTCCGGAGCAGACAATGATCCGAAGAACCAAGAGGGGCATTATATCCGTCCGGATGAGAGGTCAGCAGAAGGTCCAATAGGGAAGGTACATGGTCCTCCACATCTGGGATCCGCGTAGGCGAAGTAACCAGTTGTGTCAGAACATATACCAAGGCAAAGTCATAAACAGATCTACCCGCATGATCGGTTAAATGGGAACCAAGCCATTCAGCGTGTGACGGCTTCGTGGCGCAGTGGCTTAGCAATCAGTTGTTGCACTGGGGGCCGCGGGTTTGAATCCCGCACGGAACAAGTATTTCTATGGCCTACAAATAATTGTTCCGAGTCTGGATGTTTGTCCTTGTGCAATTTATGTTTGTAAACTGCCTCCACGACACAGGAGAAAATCCTAGTATGGGGATGACCTTTTTTTAAAAATAATATAATAATATAATAAAGCGTGGTGAGCGTTAAAATTACCGAGCATCACAATCTCTGCGGATAATACCTGTTGTAGCACGGAGTCTGCAGCCATTTAGACGTGGTCGATGAGTCGGTCTGTGTCGGCATTACCGCTATGGGACCTATAAAGACACCCGTACACGCGCGGATGGTCGTCGCTGTCTATGCGCAGCCATAGGATGGACATATGATGGACGTATCTTCAAGACTAACGAGGCGTCGAAAACAGATGTCCTCTCTGACGTACATGCAAACTCCAGCCCGGGGTAAAAAGGAGTGTTCTAATTTATACCCCGGGTAGGAGAGATACAAAGTATTAGCCGAAGAAGACACCTGTGTCTCGGTTAGAAAGAGCAAGGCCGCCTTTGCCATCTCCAGATGGTAGTGGACGGCGTTAAGGCTTGAATGAAGTCCCCTGATATTGCAGAAATTCACGGAAAGCGTGGCAGGGGTTGCCTTTGTCTTATTGTTCCGCTTGTCCCGAGCAGGTTTCGTGTTGAGCGAAATTTCGCCCCAACCCCCAGAATACGCGGGGTAGCCTGAGCACTCACGCTCAGAAAAATTAGGGTAGCTTGGGCGTGGATGCTCAGTGAGGGATTCACCGTCACCAGGGGTGCTGGTACCCTTCTGGGGTAATGTTCTATTTAACTCCGCTACCATGTTAAGGGGAGGGGGGATTGGGCCTCCCCTCATTACATCCTGTAGGTGTCGTAAGAGCCTTTGGAAAGATAGGGGTATAAACCATCTTGTTTACGTCAAACGTAAAATATCAGAAGCAGCAAGGCAGAGTGGCGTAGAAGGTGCAACGTGTCTCATACTGCGAAGTTCTTGAAGCCTTTATGATTGTCTATTAATTGTGATGACTATAGCAAACCTTCCTTACAAAGGAAGAGGTCCATATCCATAAATAGACTTTTACAAGCTACTAATGATAATGATGCAAGAACCATTATACTCAAAATTAAGGCGTTATATTTAAAAGCAGGGTAATAATATACAGCATGCTTTAATACTTAGTTTAATATGGTCTCTCTGCATATTAATATCATTTCAGTGAGTAGGAAATTTCTATTTTGAATTTTGATGCTGCTCAATTGTAGTCTAGATAATATTTCTTCATTTTGGAGCAACTGCCTAAAGAACACGGTAGCATTGAGAGTTGTGAAAATAGAGATAAGCTGCACACATACTTGCCAAGGTAGGTTATAAGTAGGTTATATGGTAATATAGTTTTTATTTTTTATTTTTAAACAATATACAAAACCTATAGAAGTCTTTTACCAATTTTATAATTTATAAGATATGTGTGAAAGTAGGAGGAGTGTGGCATTTTAGCTCTGGCGACCCCGGGGCAGATTTGTGTGTACGATGATGTACGAAATCACAAAAAAATTTGAATATTAGTGAAACAAGTACACGTGTACGAGTCTTAGACTATTCAAACTGTTAAATGGTCTAAGGTACGAGTATATCCAAATCACAAAAATGAAGATGAAGTACCACCAATTGAAATCAATCGCAAGTATAAACTTTATAAAGTTTATTTTTGGTTAGCTTATAATCAACTACTTACGATATTAACTTTGCGGGTAATGGTAGCGTAAGAGAATCCACTATCCCAGGGCTTCCAAAACTTGTTTTACTGTGACGCCCTTGGGAATTTGCTACGTTTTTGCGACGTCCCTTCTCTAGCCAAAAAATACCTACCAGTTGTAATTCTAGTAACAAGATACCAGAAAAACTGCAAATAACATTTATAATTTTTATTAAATAATAAGAAAAAAAAAACAAGAACAAAAATGAAAAGAGATACTTTGTTGGCCGGCTACTAATGAGAAGGATGTGCTTGCTTTTCTGAGCATAGCTTCTCAAAACGTGGCTCAAGTTTGGAAATTGCCACTCTAATCTCTTTCTCTACATTTATTTTCGATCTGTACTTGTTCTTTATTACTGCAACTGCAGAAAAGCCTGTTTCGCAGAAGTACGATGTCGCAAATGGTAATAGAACCCTCAGTGCTGCATAGCTGATGGCACGATATTCGTGAGAAACTGAGCTCAAATACTAGCAGTTTGTCTTTGTCGTATTGGAGCTTAAGGCTGGAGTCACAGGACAATTGTATTGATTGTTCTTCTTCCTTTGTCAAAGGTGTTGATGGTGAGGTCGACTGGAAAGGGTTTCTAACCCAGTCATATTGCTCCAGATTTTCGGGAAAATAGTTTTCAAAATGTTCACTTAATGATGACAAGTGCTGTGTAAATATTAGTTTTAGAGAGGGATCAAGGCTTTTTATCGAGTTTTCTTGTAAAATGCATTGTAACGCAGGGAAACAGTCAGTATGTACATGATCTTCTAATTTTCTCTTCCATAAGAACAACTTCTTCTGAAACCCAGTGATTTTATCTGCCAGTTGCAGGATGTGAGTATTGTTTCCCTGCAAGGACTTATTAAGATCATTTAATTTCTGAAATATGTCACAGAGATATGCCAATTTTATTATAAACTCTAAATTAATAAAGTTTTGCGCATCATTGTGTGATTCTGTCTGTAGATAAATATAGAACTCATTTCGTAGTTCGTATACACGTGCGAGTACATTGCCTTTAGACAACCAACTAGAGTTGCAATAATAAATTAAAGAAGTATGCTCGGCACCCAATTCTTCACAAAGCTTATGGAAAAATCTCGCTTTCACAGGCCGTGTTTTAATGTAGTTCACCACTTTGATAATTATATCCATCACAAAATTTAATTCAGGTGTAATTTTCTTTGCAGCTAAAGCCTCTCTATATATGACACAGTGTATCCATTTTACATTTGGAGCCTTGGTTTTGATGAGAGCTTGTAGTCGTCCATACTGTCCAGACATCGCTCGAGTAACATCCGTACACACACCCACACAGTTCTCCCATTTAATATTATTTTCTATCATGTATGAATTTAAGATCTCAAATAGATCAGTAGCCTTACCACTTTCACATATTTTTCTGCAAAATAACAAATCCTCACACACATTTGTTTCTTGTATGTACCGCAGGTAACATATCAATTGAGCATCGTCATTACCTTCCGTCGCTTCATCAAGTTAAATGGCAAATAAGCCTGAAAGTTTCTCCACAATTTGCTCATTAATATCTTCTGCCATGTCATGAATACGGCGGCTAATCGTATTGTTTGATAGAGGTACATTTTTTATTTCTTTAGTCGCCGATTCTCCAATCATCACTGATACCATATCAACCGCTGCAGGTAAAATCAGTTCCTCAACAATTGTATGTGGCTTCTTACATTTGGCAACACGGTGAGCTACCTTGTAGGAGTCAAGCAATGCTTTGGTAGGAACTGATGCTCTTGAAAGCAAAGCCGTGGACTGATGTTTCAGTTCTCGCAATATTCTAACAAAATAGTCTCTCGTTTTACCTTGTAAATTACTGTGAGTTGTTTCCAAATGACGTTTTTTCAAACAAACGTAAAATAAAGACTTTATGACAAACAACACATTGAGGAAGCTCTACACTCCCTTTAGTAATGTAGGTAAATCCGAAATCCAAATATTGGTCGTCATATTTTCTATACTTCTTCAGTTTTTCTGAAGTTTCTTTACTGCTTTCTCCTGAGTCTTCACTTCGTTTTGTATTTCTTTGAATAAAATTATCCATAGTCAATATTGAAACTCCGCGTGCGTAATTAAAACAAAAGCTTGACTGACTGAAACGATATGTATACGCGGGGGAAAGGGAAATACACGGAGGGAGGTTGACGCCGGCGCCGGCGTCGACCTCCCTCCGTATCAAACATTCTACTCGGTCGCATCGACACAGCCAATCTGTAGACGCCTCACGACACCCCTGGGATAGAGCCGGATAGAGACGCATAGTTAGGTAACCCTTGCACTATCCATTATTCGGTTGTCGTAAGAGTTGAGAACTGAAACAAGAGGTGGACAGCAGCACCTTCTCGATAACAACAATACTAAAATATAACTCTTTTTTCTTTTCTTATAGGATAAGGGTGGCAAACGAGCACACAGTCCACCTGATGGTAAGTTGTTGCTGTGGCCTATAGACATCTACATCTATCCTCGATGACGAATCAAAATGCAGATGTGTTGTCACCCGCGAGGACTGAGATGAAATGCTTCGTTGCCAGCAAAACGGGTCTCCGGTTCTCTACACTCACCATACGAAATACAGCAGTGTTAAGCTGCTATTTCACATTGGTATTCTACGAGAGTGTGGTCCTTCCTCGGTTGAGCAGACCCGTTCGTGCTACAACTATACCATTAGTATAGCTGCAGCATGGCTCTACCGCTGCTACTAAAATAATAAAAAAATGCAGTTACCAACATGTCTGCCCAGCGTGGCAACTATATCTAATATCCCTCTTACTACCTATGAGTTAATCTATAAAGAAATGTGTTCAGCAATGGGCTTTTGATAGGCTGGAACTGGAATGAATGAGTGTTAAGGTATCACTTGCTGCCGTTTTATGATCCATTGAAGAACATCGTTACCTGCCTACTGAACCACCCATGATCGATCTTTTGATATTGATCTGATATCAACAAATGTATTTTGTCTGTAAAAATATTATCTACAAATATCTAAAAATCAAAATAAAGTTATCGTCACGTCACGTCAAAAAAGTTAATAAATATGACACAATATGTCGCCACAGCATTTTTATTATGTTTTCACAAAGTGATATTTTGACATTGATTTAGTTATATACAATTTATTATAATCACAACCACAATAACACAAGATAAGGTAACTAATATTTTAAAAATAATTATTATTCAGATTTTTTTTGCCTTTTTATTACATAACTGCGGAAAACAATAATTTAACCTATTGTAAAAGTGTATGCTAAAATTCATAAAATTAGGATTTAAATAACTTACATTTCAATAAGTATACAACATTTATAGAGAAAAACTGTGAAACAAACATATTTTGCAAACAAAAATAATGCATAATTATTCTTGACTTGCGAAAACAGTTTTCTTTTGATGGAGAACATTATTGTTGATGAATATAAAAGGTAAGAACCTAAAAACATTAAATCGATTATCTCTTCAAAACATGTATTACAACTTTTGTTTGTATTTTTTTCTATCTACAAACAAAAACTACCGGTTTCGACAAAAACTATTATAAAAATACGGAGATTATAAACTATTATTGATAATATTATTATTGTATATTGTATGAAACATTAAAATGCTGAGGTAATTTTAGGAATCGTGTACAGTAATTATTGCATAATAGTTAAATGACTGTATTTCTTCATCATATATACAAAGATATATATATATATACAAAGATATATATATATATATATATATATATATATATATCTTTATTTTATAAAGTTTTGTTTATTTTTAAATCGCCAAGTAGTATCTGTTTGTCAAGTTTTGTTACAATCGGTACAGCCATTACGAAGATGAACCCGGACTGACTGACAAACAAAAATTTTGAAAATATTCATGTTTTAATGGCTTGCAAAAAATTAGCCTCAGCTCAATATACGGCAGTTATTTAGTTGTTACAGACAGCCACCAGTTATATTTATAAGTAGAGGTTTATACTAAGACCCAAGTAATATTTAATATTATGACATTATATTTGTACACCTTATATTACATGCTAAGAAATTCGTTTTTTTTTTAATTCATGGCACTTTAAACAGTTTCCTTAAATTAAGCAAATGCGCATACTTATAAATTATATTATAATTGTAGTTTTTGTGATGTTTTATATAAAACAAATATATATTATATCTAATTATATAAAAGGTAACTCACATACCAAGTGGTCAAACAGTGATTTGCGAGCGTTTCGAAATATTCATAAATGTGTTTTACACGGAATTATAAAACATTGACCGTGACATGATATTTCAAATTACAAGGATATACCTATATGTTTATGATTCTTTTAAAAAAGATAAAGTAAACAATTTGTAAATTAATGTTTTCAGGGAATTCGATATCAATATTAGGATTAGAATAACTTCTTTGGCCTAGTCAACATATATTAATTTTCTGCTACAGACTCAAACGATTCTTTTATCTCTGATACGGTGACAACGTTTTTTCCCGTCGCATCCAAGGGTTCCGTCGCGGTTAGTCTCCTTCCATACATTTTAATCATTTCTAAAACAACACCGTTCGACCAACCGAAACCAGTTTGTACAGTGTACTCTCCACCTCCGCCGATTTTGCCTGGCTGCTCGACGTCGTATTTTTCGAACATCTGCTTATTCTCCGTGAAACCTTTCAAACAGGCACGGACCCAAGTTTGAGCAACGTGGAAAGCCATCTGCTGCGACTCGTGTGAATTTATTGCCCGCAGTGCGTTAACAACTATACTGACTAGAGGCGGCCACGCGTTCGGGAAGTCCCATTGTTCCCCACTCTTGATTAAGGAGGTTGGTATACCGCCTGGGAAGTTAAGACCTTGCGAACCTTGCAAATATTTTACTACGCGAGGAGCGTGCTTCTTCAACACGTGTCTTTCTACCGCGTTCATCCATAATGGTGCTACGTTGCTTGGGTAGAAGTATTTGCGATGTTTTCCATTTTCCAAGTTGTAGTCGTACCATATACCATCGGCCTCGTCCCACAACACTGCATCAATTGTAATGCGCCATTGTTTTGCGAGATAAGCCCAGTGAGCACCTTTACGTGTATTCCGCAATAAGCCATGGAAGTAGGCTATATTCTGCAAAGCATTGGCGAAGATCGCATTTAAATCGACGGGAACTATTTCGCTAGTGTGTATGGTGCTTAAATTGCCAGTATTTTGGCCCAGACTTCCGATAAACCAGCGAGTGGAGAAATCCCAGCCACTTTCGGCGGCGCCTTTAATGTCCACGTAATATTCCTCCTGGCGTTCTTTATTTTCGAATTGTTGAGCTATCGTATAGTCTTCGTAATAAGACTCCGGTCGAGGCCCTTGACTAGGAGCGTAATACCGTAACAGAGTATGCGATTTTCCACACTTTACAAACGTAATTGCTTGCGATTCGAGCCAATATTCCATCTCATCTTCAAGTGCTTCAATGTTAGCTTCGAGGAAGGCAAGGTCTTTCGTTTGTTGTACATAAAGAGACACCATTGCTGTTAAGAGAGGGGGCTGACTGCGCTGTTCATAATACCATCTGCTGCCATTGGGCACGTGACCGAGTTTCTTAAGTAGCTGAATGAGATTCTCGATCATGCCCCGTGCAGTATTCTCCATTCCACAAATCAGAAGTCCTTCTATAATCCAATATGCATCCCAATAGTATATTTCGGAAAACCTTCCACCTGGTATAATGAAACCATTGGATATCGGAATAAAGCTGTATTTATCAGGTTTTTCAAAGACGATCGGTTTAACTTTACGACCGAGGGTCGGCCAAATTGCATTAATATCGCTTGCAAACTGTCTTAGGGTGTTATCACGCACTTTGGCCAAGAATGCGGGATTGTCGCTGTAGTCATTTGGTTTCCATACTTCGAGTTCGTTACCGGGTTCGAAATACTGGTCAACAAAAGCTTGAATTTGGTCTTTTGTCGGGTTCTGGTTTGTTTGGTCGAGGAGTTCGTCAAAAGCCTTTAGTGTAGTGTTCTCGTCGTTTCGAAGTTGAAGGTCGACGAATGTCTTAGAGTCTGGATAAATTCTTGCTAATTGTACATAGTGCAGCAACTTACTGTTACAGTATACTGGTTTACTGCATGAAGGCGGCAGTTCCTCCGTATTAATGATCCCATTGGTTATAGCGAGGATAATGAGAAGTAACATCTGGAAAGATAGAAATAATAATTAAAACAAAATGTTAACTAAGCGACAGTTGTCTATTAGTTAAGTTTACTGACTACAAACTATTAAATTTGTAGTCCGTAAACTTAACTTGAAGGTCCCTAAGACCGATACGACTTAGGGACCTTCAAGAAAAGAGCTTCCACCTTTCTAAAAGGCCGGCAACGCATCTGCAATTCCATTGGCGTTGCGGTTGTTCATGGGCGGCGGTAGTCACTTAGGATCAGGTGAGCCGCGTGCTCGTTTGCCTCCTCTTCTATAAAAAAAAAATGTGATCGGCGGTGAAGGAAAACACCGTGAGGAAACATGCATGCCTGAGAAATAAGAAAAAAAATATTTCGAAGACATGTGAAGTTCGCCAACACGCGTTAGAGCAGTGCGGCGGACATTTCGTTGCCCTAAAACCCTCTTAGAAATGAGAGGAGGCCTATGCCTAACAGTGGGACGTTTATAGACTGTACCTTTAACTTTTTTTAAATAAGCGTTTAAGCTCCCTTGAAGTAGTTAACGCGAGTATTATTAGTGATAATAGTGTTACTAGTATTATTTATAAAAAAAATATGATAATGATAGGGCTGTCCAATTTTGACCACATAATTTATGAATACGTACTCTCGGAAGGTAAAAACTGCGTTTATCTCGTTTACTGTTAACTCTTAAGAGATAGAACTCTTTTCTGCCGACTTCCAAAAAGGAGGAGGTACTCAATTCGACTGTATTTTTATGTGTGTTACATCATAACTTTTTTCTAGGTGAACCGATTTTGATGATTCTTCTTTTATTTGAAAGCTGGTGCTTCTCATATGGTCCCATATAAATTGATCAAGGTCAGATTAATAGTTTTAGAGTTATTCTTAATAACTTATATTGAAGTCGGCTGTGCAAAATTTTTAATTTTAAATTATTCAATTTAGGAATCCGTCTAGATAAGATAGTCCGTTGACGGTGAGCGGTGACCAATGCGCCAGACGTGGGGTTCTGCGATCGTCAACTGCTCGCCAAAAGTATATTAAGATTAATCCTTCCTACAACGGTTGAAACCCATGTTTAGCAGTACAACTTAACGAGATTGTGATGAAAAACGGGAAGATTTATATATTTTAGATAGGTATATCTTAAACCCACGAGATACTAAGAATGTTTTTTTAAGAATAATGTAGGGAGAGGGCAGTAACAGTAATGATAGGGAAAACGTAACACCAGTACGACCGAATAGCTCGAAAAACCGACAACAAATGAGGAAGGTTCTCGAGTGGCAGCTTCGTACCGGTAGACGAAGTAGGGCGTCCCCCAACTAGATGGAGTGACGACCTGGTAAGATATATAAGAAGTCGATGGATACAGGTGGCTCAGGAGCGTGTTTTGTGGCATTCCTTGGCTCTCTATGTTCAGCAGGGGACTTGTGAAAGGCGGTAATGTTGAATAACGACGAACATCAGTACGATAACCAAGTAGTCCAATGATCAGAATAGCTTCTAATTGCGTCACAATCACAAGTCCTATGTTCGAATCATTAGTTCGGACAAATATATAGAATGACATTTCTTACAAAATATTATTTTGGCATTTGTTTAAACAGATAAATTTATCAAGTGTTAATTCTGTTACTAAGCAATGTCCATGATGAACTCAAAACGAGGTCAATGTTCCTTCCTAACAGACGCAAAAAAATTCCAATTCGATGTTTGCCAAAAACCTTTTTATTAGTGTTGCTAAAGTAGTTATAGCGTAACGTTCATGACCGCCAACTTATTTGCGTTTCGAATAAAAACATTCTTTTACATATTACAGCTGATATTTCATAATATCACAACATATTGAAGGTTCGCTAGCGGAGTGGCTAAGCTTTCGGCTGCGGCGTTGCGGAGTCACGATTTCGAATCTCGCAGGTACATTTAATAAGAAAAGTCAGAACAGAATGTACAGTCGACTAGACAGGTATCCTCCTCTTTGAAATCGGCTAGTACCTAACCATTAAAGTTTTTTGTCGACATATCACGCATTCAAACCAAACGCTTTGCTTCGTCCTTCCTAATGCATACAGCATGTCTTACCATCCAATCATAATTGGGATGTCTTCAAGACATGAGCTAAGGTAAGTCAGCGCGCTTTACCAACAAGTGGGATAATCGTCAAACACTGGCTTTTAACAGTAAAGAAAGGTACGCAAATTGTAAATTACAATAACAACATTTATAAAACACTTTTTTCATTCGGTAACAGTTTATGATCGTCAACGGTAAAATAACCAACCCAATTCGCAAACCATATTCAGTATATTATGTTAAATAATGATAATTAATTATAAAACATTAGTAAAAACTTGTTTTTATTTCACAAGTCGACAAACAAAACAATTAAGGTAGTTATGCAATCTGGAAATAGCCTTAATACCTGTTGATCCCAAATTGTCCTGACTAAGATTTGATGTTATATTACTCGTAAACATGATGATTGTAAGTAACCATAATTTTACAATAATCAGACCTTTATATGGGACCACATGAGAAGCCAGTTTTCAAATAAAAAAGAATAAAAATCGGTTCACCTAAAAAAAGTTAAGTAAGTCGTGAAGTGCTCGAAATTTGAGTTGCAAGATTCCACAAGGAAGACAGATAGACAGAAAGACAGACAGGCAGACAAACAAGAAAGTGACTTAATAAAAACGTGGTAATAAAATGAACTTTTCTCAAAGATACAATCATACAAAAGGATTCTTAACAAGATTATATTAAATATTGTGATTTTTTTGTTATAGAATAAAGATGACAAACGAGCACACAGTTCACCTGATCGTAAATGGATGCTGTGGTTCATAGACATCTACATTTATCCTAAGTTAAGATTCAAAATGCAAATGCGTTGTCACCCCTATGTACTAAGATGGAATGCCTGGTTTCCTGTAAAAAGGGTTTCAGTTTCTAGGGCAGTCACCATACGAAACATAGCAGCATTAAGCTGCTAAAATAACAAACATGACATGTACCAAGATCCCTTGTATTTGAAAATGGTTTTGATTTAAAATTATATTGCGTGGTATTGATTAATTCTCAGAAAAAATATTTCAATAAACGTTACAGCTTAGTCGCACTAATAAAGCTTTACATAAAATATGACAAATAACTTTTGTACATAAGTAATTCAATCGTTTTATGGATAATTAAACAGGTAAGTAGGTAATGAAGTATTCTATCGTCCTGCTCGATCCATCGCCTTGATTCACTCCCATTGTTAAAGTTACAACATATATACATACCTCCATCTTCACGGCTAGCATGGGATGGGGACAAAAATTTTATCCCCCGATTATATCCACTGACAAGAGATAAAATTATCTTTTCCTTATGCCAAAGCACGGCAACGGGGAGAAGTATATTCCCCCGTTTGACATAACGAGTAGACATAATATATCCCCCGTCCGTAGCATGGAGCCAAATTAAAGATAAAAATTATACTTTTTTGACATTTGAAAGGGACAATTTTATTCTAGTTCATTGGAAGTGGGTTTAAGTTTATATTCATACAAAAAAATCTATCTTCTTTTTATAAAAATACAAACGAGCACATAGACCACTTGATGGTAAGTGGTTGCAGTGGCCAATAGATATCTACATTTATCCTCGATTACGAATCAAAATACAGATGCGTTGTCACCCGTGAGGGCTAAGATGGAATGCCTCGTTTCCAGTAAAAAGGGTCTCCGGTTCTCTAAGCTCACCATACGAAACACAGCAGCATTAAGCTGCTAAATTAACACTGGTATTCTGTGAGAGCGTGGTCCTTCCTCGGTCGAGCCGAACCATTCGTGTTACAACTATACAAGAAATATAGCTGCAGCATGGATCTACCACGTGCAAAAGTCTATTTCTCATTTTATCTAATGTGTATATTATATCCACTGGTGTGCCCATGCTCGAAGGGTGAATAAAACTAACCGAAACTAAGTGAAATATAAAAAATTATGCTTTTTTGACATTTGAAAGGAACAATTTTATCCTAGTTCATTGGACGTGACGAAAGAAATCATCTTGAGGAAACCTGCATGTCTAAGAAAAAAAAAATGCAAGGACGATTGAGGTCCGCCAACGCGCATTAGACATTTCTTTGCCTTAAAATGATCTCAGAATGAGAGGTCTGTGCCCAGCAGTGGAACATATATAGTCCGTAACTTTACTTTAGCCGAAAGGCTGTATGTCTGCGAAAAATTTTCATATCTAAGAAATTTAAAAAAAAATCTAGTACATGTGTAGTCCACCAACACACATATAGCGCGGTGGTTTATTCACCGCCCTAAAACGCTTTCAGAAACCCGCTTGAGTATATGACATGTTCTGTGCGCAGAAATGAGATGCCTATGCCATATGACGTATATTTATAGACTGTTTTTATCGAGTAAATTTCGGGTCTTTACAGACTTAAGTGGTTTGTTTACATGAGAGGTCATTGTCTTACTTTCAGTGTGATTTCTTGATTAGCGTCGGTTCTTATCGACGTAATTATTATTGGGTACTAGTACTTATATCATCATCATCATGTAGTCATAATGTTATCAAATCAGGGCGAGGTTTTACGCGGAACACTTCGATTCCGATGAGTAAGTAGTGTTAAAATAAAAATATAAAAAATGTAAGTAAATAAATTTAATAATATAGGTTATACTGAATTTATTTTCATCGTCACAGCCCTTCACAAGTCCACTGCTAAACATTTTTATTTAATAGAATTTGTTTTACAAATATAGCTATATTTGTAATTCTTGAGCTTAACTTCAAGGCAAATACTCTATAGGCCGGATTACTGAAAAGAATAAATTCTCTACTACGTAGTAATCCGGCCCAGCTTCGCACGGATAATTTCCGGATCTCAAACAGCGCCACCTACCGTGTGAATGTTAACCATCCAGGGACTCATACAAACACACACAATTTTTTATCAGAATCGGTCCAGCCGTTTTTGAGTTTTAGCGAGACTAAATTATTTTT